AGTGGCCAACAGTTCATGGCAGCAAAGGTAACAAGAACAAACAGGGAGAAGCATAAGTGACCAAGCATCTCTCATTCCCTAACATTGTATTCAGGCTACTAGTCCCAGGGAGGGTATAAGACTCATTTCTTTAATCCCAGCACAGGACCATGAATCAATGAAAAACACAAGAAGACCTTGCCATGACAACACAACTTTGGAAGCACATTTAAACTCAAACCATAACACCATGTCACTATGTTAGGTCCTTAACATTAAAGTTTTTTTATTAATTTTATTGAGAAACAGATAGCAATGAGACAGTTTCAAAACCAATTAATAGGACAGTTTCAATAATTAATATAATGGATATTGCTATCTTCTTAGTGGTTATTCATAGTACAAGATGCAGACGTGACATCCTGTCCAAATACTATTACTACAAATCTTTCTTCTCACTGGATTAAGAGAAAATAGCTGTATATCTATCCTAACTATTTTGTATATAGAAATACAAAATGGTCCTTCCTTTGTAACCCCTTTTTTTGTTTAATTTTGTTATAGATGGGTATTCCATTGCCATTTATATATTATAGGTGCATGAATTCAGCAAAATAATCCAATATATTCCAGTAGTCCATAATAGTAGTGGGTTATCCGTAGGACTGGCAATGTCAGAAATTGTTGACTTGAGCCTTTCACAGCTCAGCATATTAATATGGCTTTACGTTTTATACCTCGTTTTTATACTTTTCTGCTGGTTTGTTAACATCAAGATAAAGCAAGACCTATATGATAAGAAATGTAACTTTTGTATCTGATAAGGTCAGTCAAGTCCCCTCGGGATTTATCCTGTTACCCTGTACAGCAATTTGCAGATCCTTTGTCAGTGTCACCATGAGGATGAGTCACAGTCATTGCTTGACCAGATTTCTCTCAGTTAAAGCCTGAGAGAATGTTTTCTCTCCATGTGACTCTCCTTAGGCACACTACGTCATCGATCACATTGTGGCCCCATAATCTCCTTGATCAAAAAATTTAGGACATACCTGAGTTACATGATGTTACAGTATAGGTTCTCCTATGTCCTGAGTCTTAACTGACCTTGAAAGGTTAGGGCCAAAATGTTAACTGAAGTTGAAGCCCTTCTCTTTCTCTAACTTTTGGTCTGCAAACTTGGGTTATTAACCTTCTAGAAGAGAAGCTTATTATTATTCTACAACATGTGCAGTTCAGTTTAACCTCACTATCTGTCTGAATATCAAACATCTTAGGCATAACATGGAACAAGTATTTTCCATATGAAGGGAAATATGTAAAAACAAAAAAATTAAATATGAATAAGCAATTACATATTTTTACACAGAAATTTAGAAATCTAACCATATACAGCATTGTAGCAGGACAGTCCTATGACATTTTTTTTTCTTGTGTCTTTTTTTCATTTATTACCCTTTTCTTTTTAAACATTTATTTGAGAGACAGTATGGCAATAAGTAGTATGTCATGACAAGCAGTACGTATTTAGAAGACCAGAATAACAGGCATTCCAAGCGTGACCCTCCTATTATATATTGTTTTCTTCAGTGCAGTTGCTTAGTTAACAGGTATCAGCATATATAGTTAGTCAGGGTGAGAATCCCACCAACTAACTGCTAGTTTCAACAACCTGCTGATAGTTCTCAGGATCATTGCCTTACCCATCTTGTGTATATAAATGTATGGCTTTGCCCCTGTCATTTTTCCCAGCTTTTCTCCTCGCCCTCTCCTCGTTATCCAATCCTCAAGTTCTCGTTTTCCTTTTAATTGTGTTATACCTTTCTATTTATATTTCTTCTTTTTAGTTCTTATACTAGGGAGACTATATGATATTTACACATGTGGATCTGGTTTATTTCATTTATGAGTATATCTTCAAGTGATATCCATTTAAATATAAATGCTTCAAGTTTAATCATTCTTTATAGCAGAATAATATTCCATTGTATAAAAAATACCACATCTTCTTCATCCATTCCTCAAGTAACAAGCATTTTGGTTGTTTCCAATATTTGGCTATCACAAATTGTACACAAACATTCACATACATCACTATGATATGAGATTTTCAGTTCCTCCAATGGTTGCATCGGTCTACATTTCTACTAGCAGTGGAGAAGGGTTCCTCTTTCCCCACAGCCTCTCTAAAATTTGTTGTTGGCTGATTTCTTTATGATAGTCATTCTTTCTGGGATGAAATGGTATCTCAGTGTGGTTTTAATGTGCATTTCACAGGTGGCTACTGATGTGAAGCATTTTTCCCATATATTTATTCACTTCTTTTATTTCATTCTCTCAGAAGTGTGTGTTCATCTCGGATACTCATTTCTGGATGGGTCTTTAAATTTAGGGTTCCCAATGTTTTTTAGTTCTTTATAAATTATAGAGAGCAGACTTTTATCTGAGTGCTTATTAGCTAAGATTTTTTTTTCAAAATCTGTGGGTTCTCTTTTCACTTTGTTAGTAATTTCTTTTGATGTGCAAAAAAATCTCAATAAGAGGAGCCTCCAGTTGTTAATTCTTTCAAGTATTACCCATGCGATTTATTTTTGTTTATGAACCCTTTGCCTACCCCTATGTCTTCAAGAATTCCCCCTACTTTCTCTTCCAGGAGATTTAGTGTTTCTGTTTTGATTTTTAGATCTTTATTCCACTTTGACTTGAGCTTAGTGCATGGTGATAGACTTGAGTCAAGTTTTAGTTTTCAGCACGTAGAGAGCCAGTTTTTCCAGCACCATTTGTTAAAGAGACTAGCTTTCTTTCAATAAGCATGTTTGGCCCCTTTATTGAAGGTCAGGTGACTGAGTGTGTTCGTAGAGGCTTCTGCATCTTCTAATGTATTTCATTGATCCTCAGGTCTATTTTGTTGCCTGCAGCATGCTGATTTTATCACAATAGCTTTGCAATATAATTCAAGTCAGGAATTGTAATGCCTCCTGCCTTGTCTTTGTTGTCGAAGGTTGCCTTTGCTATTCTAGGTCTGTTCTGGTGCCAAATAAATTTTAGCAATGATTTATCTAGGCCTGTGAGGTATGTTGGTGGTAGCTTGATAGGGATTGAATTAAATCTGTACAACAAATTTGGAAGTATGGCCATCTTCACGATGTTGGTTCTTCCTATCTAGGAGCAGGGAATATCTTTCCATTTTCTGAAATCCTCTATGATCTCTTTTTTCAAAGTACTTAACATGAAAGCTTTATAAAGCCTAAAGTAAAGCAAATTTCTACAACACATTGACAGATAAATTTACTCTCACCAAATTCTGTACTACAAAATTTACTTACAAAATTCTGCAGAACTATTGTTTCTTGCTTGAGGAAGGCATAAATATTTGTACTCATTGTGAACCACCTTCAGGGTATGAATATTTGCCACTCATCTACACATATGAGGAATAATCTTCAAAATTTACTTAAAATATGGGTACATTTAAGATTCTCTCTCCATGTGATTATGATGGAATGAAAAGAACATTAAAATTCATGTCCCTAATAATAAAGAATAACTTGAGTGTCATTACTCATCTAGGATTTCCCAGCATAAGATTCTTAAATATATGAACACTGTAGTTTTGGAAGATTAAAAACCTTTAACTTTCATTTGTCTCATAAACAGATATTGTTAAGAATCTTCTATTTTGATCATTTATCCTTAACCTCTCAGGCTGAGACAGAGGTATAATGTCTTTTAAAGCCTATTAATTATTTTTAGTTTTATGCATGAGAAACTGCATAATAATAATATTAGTACCTGACATATCATTCATTAGTCAGTCTCTTTCATGTTTGGGACATTCATATGCATTGTATCTCTAGGAAATAAAGAATAAATTTGTCCCCATAATACTGACCATATGATATGAGTCAGATTGTGACTTCACATTTCAAATCCTGTGTTTGTTAAATGTTTGATTGTAGTTATAAATCAAACCCACATGACTTGAGAATATAGTAAGAAACATTTGTTATCTATGAATATTTGTTCTGGAAATAAACCAGAAGAAAGATTTCACTGACGAAATATATTTCTGCATACATATTTCATGAACAGTTACTGCTTCAGAAGATCTTAGTACATATACAAGTTGGATAAAGCAGTAATCCTAAGAATTTCCATCAGGTTTTTGAAAATAGCAAAATGGGTAGAAATCTCACCCTAATTCTCTATGCTGATACCTGTGAACTCAGCAACTACATTGAGGACAGCAATGTGTAATACTAAAACCATGCTTGAAATACCTGTCATCTTGGTCTTCTAAATGTGTATTTCTAATGTCATACCTACTATTACTATACTCTTTAAGTACGTTTTTTTAAAAAAGGTAATAAAAGAAAATGAAAGTCAATAACAAAAGTCTAAGATTTCTTGAAAGTATGTGGTAATATTCAATCATATGTCCCATCTTGTATAACTATATGTTAATTTGAGCAACAGATTTGATGACAAAAATAGATAACATATCAATCACTGTTAATCAGCTATTCTTGTTTTGAAAATATGTAATGTAAATTGTTGCATGTTACCCTGTTTCTCTGTTTTCTTTTTCTTGTTCTTGTTTTTACTCAAAATAAAACAAAATTGTAATAAAAAACAGAAATAATAAAATATATCCCCTATAGGCAAATCACATGTCCCAACTTCCTAAAAGGAAATAAAGCACTTACTATGTAGCTAGCACTTTCTCTACTTTCAACAGATGTAAAGGTAAAGAGCACATTGTATCTGATGGAGAAAACTAAAAATTTAGACTTTCCATAACCCATGACAACTTTCCCAGAGGTGCTGTGGATCCCACAATGTGAGATACATAATCACCTTGCCATCAGGTAATGTGAGCTCTGAAGGAGAAAGGATGCAAGGGGAGGAATCCAATGTTCTGATGAAAGCACAGCATTGGCCAAGACGATGATGGTGATGATATTTGCGATAAATAATTCCCTTTCTATTTTTCCTTAGACTTCTATTGTTTTTCTCTTGCTATGATGGTGAAGAAAAAGAGAAAATTTTCCAGGTTTTTTGACATAAGAAACACTGTTTTCTTTGAAATTGCTATTGGGATCTCATTCAATACCATCCTGCTTCTGTTCCACATTCTCATATTCTTCCTCAAGCACAGGCCAAAGCCCCTAGACTTGACTGTCACACAGTTGGCTCTAATCCATCTGGTTATGCTGGCGACCATGAACTTCATAGCTACAGATACTTTTGAGTCTCAGGGTTGGGAGGATGGCTTCACATGTAAATTGATTATCTATGTGTACAGGTTGATGAGGGCCCTCTCCATCTGTACCACTTGCCTGCTGAGTGTCCTTCAGGCCATCACCCTAAGCCCCAGAAACGTTTGCTTGGCAAAATTCAAATATAAATCTTCACATCACTACCCATATTACCTTGGGATTTTATGGGTCTTGAATATGATACTGAATACTCGTTTCTTAATCTCCATTTGTGCCACCCCCAATGTAACCTCATACAATCTCATGTTTGTCACTGAATCCTGCTCTCAGTGGCCCATGAGTTACTTGTTCAGGTACATATTTTTTTCATTAGTGAACATTCAGGACATCTCCTTCATTGGACTGATGGCTCTCTCAAGTGGATACATGGTAAATCTCTTGTACAGGCATAAGAGGCAATTTCAACACCGTCACAGCACCAGGAGTTCTCCAAAAGCATCTCCAGAAGAAAAGGCCACTCAGAGCATCCTAATGCTTATGGTTTTCTTTATGCTCATGTACTTTTTGGACTGTGTTACTTTCTCATCTCGTGCTATACTGTGGAACAATGACCCAATTAATATTTGTGTCCACATGCTTGTGGGCAATGGTTATGCCACAATCTGTCCTTTTGTGCTAATGAGCACTGAAAAACGAATGATTGAGTTCTTACCATTCAGGTGGAAAAGACTATAAATGATCAAGTATTTAGTGATAAAAATTTTCCTTTCAGGTAACTAAATGCTTGGAATTTCTTATTCATCATTGAAATATATGTACTATTATTTTTCTGTTAAACAAATATACACTTTCCATTTTCTGAAATCCTCTATGATCTCTTTTTTCCAAGTACTGTAATTTTCCTTGAAAAGATCTTTGAGTTAGTTTAGTTAGATTAATTCCAAGGTATTTCATTTTCCTCGGTGATATTGTAGAAAGTATTGTTTCTCTAATTTCCCACTCAGTATGTTTATTATCTGTGTAGACGAATGCTATTCACTTTTGGCTACTGACTTTATAACCTGCTATGTTACTGAATTTCTGTATTAATTCTAGTAGCTTCTTGGTGGAGTTTTCCCAAAAAATTTATAGGATAAAAATCGAACAATGGAAAACTGCACTCCCTGCCGCAGGAATATGGAAGAAAGAAGATGTAGCTATGTTGTATTCTGACAAAGTGGACTTAAAACCAAATAAAAAGATTCAAATTAGGTCACTAGATTCTGGCTAGAGATATGATCCAACAGGAAAAGATAACAATTATTAATACAGGCACTGTTCCATATTGCACCCAAACTCATAAAAATGTAGTATTGTACATGAAATGTCACACAAACATAAACATAAACACAGCTATAGTGGAGAAAATTAGTAGACAATTTCACAAATACAAAGACCAATTAGATAAAAATCAAAAACAAAGAAACACCAGAGTGAAAGATACGGGGTTTAGTACATGTCTACAGAATGCTCCACCCACCTACCACAGAATACAAATTTTTTCAATGCACATGGAATTTTATCCAAAACAAACCACATATTAGCCAATAAAGCAAACTGAAACTTAAGAGAAGTAAAATTATACCATGCATATTATCATTTCATAGCAGAGTAAAGAATCAATGACAAAAGAAAACACAAAATTAATGCAAATCCATAGAAACCAAACAGTACCCTTTTAACTAAACTACTAGAAATCAAGAGAATATAATACAAGCTCTATAACCACATATTAATATAATGAACTAGGGGCCGGGGGGATAGCTCAGTGGAATAAGCGCTTCCCTGGCAAGCGCAAGGGCCTGAGTTCAATCCCCGGTTCAAAAAAA